ACCACGCCCCCCCTGACTACCCCTCCCTTCCCCCCAAGAACGAGAATAAAAGGACGAGCGCAACGCGAGGGAGCTCAGTATCAGAGTATCCCAGCCCTGATGAAGCAGACTGCAACGCCTGCGAAACGTCGGCACCACACTGCAAACGGACGCGGCAACCATCCGGAAGCCATAAAGACTAACGAAGACAACAGCCGCGAAAGCCTGAAAGCCATGAGCCTATTTTGTTACCCTAAATATTTTAATAAATTTCTTTTCATATATACATATATAAAGGGTGTTTTTTTAGAGCGTCACAACTTTTTTTTAAAATAAAACTCACAAAAATTAAAATTTTTGGTCAAACTTTGGCTTTATTCGAAAGATAAATTCATGACATTATTGTTTGAATATAACTTCGGGCATGTGGCCACCTCGGCTCCGCTGGATGAAGGCCATACGATCGGTCCAATTTTTGACCACTTTTTCGCACAATTCTGGCCGTATTTCGTCGATGACACGCTCAATGTTGGCTTCCAAAGCGTCTAAACTGTTGGGCTTATCGACATAGACCAAAGACTTGACATATCCCCACAGAAAATAGTCGGGCGGCGTCAGATCACACGATCTAGGCGGCCAATTGACGGGGCCGAAACGAGAAATAACACGGTCGCCGAAGACAGTCTTCAATAAGTTGATTGAAGCGGCCGATGTATGGGCCGTAGCACCATCCTGTTGGAACCAAAATTCTTCAGGATCAAAGGCGTCGATGTTTTGAAAAAAAAAATTGTTAATCATGGCACGGTAGCGCGGCCCATTGACTGTGATGTTGGCTCTTTTCTCATTTTTAAAGAAATAAGGACCGATGATGCCACCGGCGTGTATTCCGCACCACACAGTGCATCTTTCTGGGTGTAATGGTGTCTCGAGAACTTCGTGAGGATTGCTCTCACTCCAGAAGCGGCAATTTTGTTTGTTTACATACCCATTAAGCCAGAAATGCGCTTCGTCACTGAACACAATTTTGCGGTAAAAAAGCGGATCTTCGTCCAACTTTTCCAGGGCCCATCGAGCGAACGTACGACGTTGTGCATGGTCGTGCGGCTTCAATTCTTGCACCAACTGGATCTTGTATGGATGAAGACCAAGATCTTTTCGCAAAATTTTCCATATGGTGGACGGGCAGAGGGCAGAGGTTCAATTGTTGTGCGCGACGGCGAATCGATAAATTTGGGTCCTCGGACACACTCTCGTCTACGACAGCGATTGTGGCTTCTGTACGCACAGTTTTGGCACGGGACGACGGCTTAAGGTCGTGTAGAGTGTATTCGGTGCGAAATTTATCCATAAGTCGGCGAATGGAATGTTCTGTTGGGCGTCCATGAAGGCCAAAAATGGTACGTGATTTTCTATAAGTTTCGCGAATAGAGCCATTGTTTTCAAAGAAAATTTTCACAATTTGGTAGCGTTGTTCGAGAGATAACCTATCCATGATGAAATGTCAAAGAATACTGAACAAAAAAGTGAAAGTGACGTTGACAGTTGAAGCCCAGAATGACAGATATCCCTATTGGAAGATGTGACGCACCAAAAAAAACACCC